CTCTCCCCCCTTCTCCTCCTCTTCCTCCTCTTCCTCTTCCTCCTCCTTCCCTCAGCTGACTCCAGGGAGTCGCTTCTGATGGTTTGTGTTTGTGGACGTTATTCGCTCTCGCCCACCTCGTCATGACTGCAGCTTCTGTCTGAAGAGAAAAAGGTAGATTTTAGATGGAAAAAAGAACATAATAATTTTCACAAACTAAAAGGAATGGTTGACAAAAAAGGCCATGTCACAATCACTCAGGCAAACATAATTGTCATCCACAATATTACCCCGAAAAAAACATCAGCCTTAAATATTTAAAACGGCACAGAAACACATTTAATAATTATAATACATTTTATTTATCAAGCGCATTATCAAGTGCTCAGAGACGCTTTACAGAGATGAGAAAATACGAGATGAGGTCAAAAGTCTAATTAAGATTGAGCAATAAAACCATGTGTGTCACAAGGACAATCACACGTCTGTTCGGGGACTTGAACCGGCGACACTACGGCTCCCAGTCCAAGCCCCTATTGACTGAGACTCTGCCGGACATATGATACGTGGGGAGTCGTGTGGTGCAGTGGGTTGTGAGTTGGTATTCAGGAGGTCACAGGTTCAAACCCCACTGCAGTCAGCATGTCGTTGTGTCCCTGAGACACTTCACCCCAAATTGCTCCTGCGGGGATTGCCCACAGTGCTGAGTATGTAAGTCGCTTTGGATAAAAGCGTCTAACATGTGACATGTCATGTAATGTAAATACAATTTCTGATCAAATACCTCGATATATAGAGGAACATATTGTGGGGTTCAGGTTTGGTGCTTTCATTGGTGCGTAATACTACGATCAGTTTAAACCAGCCTCCAGCAGGAAATCCAGAAACATCCGATATAATATATCAAATGTAGCTGAACAATCAATGTGGTTTTGATTGCTGGGCTTTTACTCGGAGTGGAGTATTTTCACAATGTGGTTTTAGTAAAAAAATTCCGGCAGAGGCTCAGTCAGTAGGAGCTTGGACTGGGAGCTGTAGGGTCGCCGGTTCAAGTCCCCGAACAGACCTACATATGGAGTGTGGACTGCTACTTGGAGAGGTCCTAGTTCACCTCCTGCCCGGCCGTGGTGCCCTTGAGCAAGGCACCGGACACCCCCCCACTCCCATTGCTCCCCGGGCGCTGTGCTCCTGGTGCTAGGATGGGTTAAAAGCAGAGTCACATGTCCCTGTGTGCTCAGAGGGGTTCATCCCTCCCATTATATTCTAGTACCAATACTTTAAAGCAGTGGTTCTCAAACATTTTCTGTCAGGCCCCCCCTTTGGAGAAAAAAAAAAGTCGGGCCCCCCCAACACAAATAGTCAGGCTCAGTGGCGGCGCCAGAGATTTATTTTGGGGGTGCTGTGGGGTAGCTTGACCTTTCATAGAGCGTGCTCAAACATTTAGGGTTTCCCATTAATGTACCGGTCGCTACAGTGGCATTTTCTACTGCAACACTCCCCACGCACATACACTATGTACCCGCGACTGTTACAATGAAGGCTCGATATCAAGTCTCGGCATATAGGTGTAAGCAGGGGTAACGTGCTATTTTTATAGGTGGTGTGTGGACCTCACATAGGGGGGTCCGGGGGCATGCTCCCCCGGGAAGATTTTTAAATATTGAAGTTGAAAGCATCAATCTGGTGCACTTTGAGAGCAAAATGAAGAGATCTATGGATACTCTCAACACCCAGATGAAACAGAATTGTAAACAGATTTACTATTTCTTTATGGATATTTTCTAAATCACTCTTTTAAACTTTATTCTTGTTTTACTGTCATATAGTATTTCATAGCTGTTTTTCATGTATTCTCTTATTTTTGTATAACTATAATGATCATATAAACGTGTGCCTCGTTCCACACACACACACACACACACAGAGCCGAGCTTTAATGAAACACAGAGACCCAGACGTAATAGTACTGTATCATATTATTTTCGAATCAATAATTTTTCAAAATATGATTTTTTTTTTTTTTTTTAATAACCATTTTTCCTCCTGGTCTCTCGCGCCCCCCCTGTCATGCCTCTGCGCCCCCCTGGGGGGGCGCGCCCCCCACTTTGAGAACCACTGCTTTAAAGTAAGATTCAGAAGCTTGAAGCACGAAATAATACACACTCAGTTCAGGAATAATACACACCTTTTAGAAACTAACCCTAACCAAGGCACGCTTTCTAGTTTTGATCTTATATGTGTGTTTGTGTAGTTTCTTAATATTTAACTGTGCCTGTCAAACTGTGTATATGACAAAATAAATAATACATACAAAATACCTTGAAACGTGTCAACCCTTCCTGAACATGTCTGCAGTTTTTATATTTAATTGCAATTTGAACCGAGTAGTAAATAAAAACATTTACGACAAATAACTTTGTTGTTTTTCGAATGAAACGTCTGTTAGCGTGTTAGCAATAACATAGCATTATCTTAGTTAGTAAAGAATAACAGCACTTTCTGAGCTGGTGAGTTAACCCAACATATAACGATAGTTTAACGTAACCTTTTACAACGGCACAAATCGTTTAAATAATGTAAATAAAGGCTAAAAACAACATTACCTTCAGAGGTTCTCAGCCCATGTGTTTTCTTTTTTAACCCGGAAGTGACTGTCTCTACTTCTTCTTCTTCTACGTTGATAATTGACGTATCGCAAACGACCGAAACGCTGCACCGCGCCACCTGCTGGACCGGAGGCAGAAGACAAAATGGTGAAAAATATAATATATCATATCAAAGTGGTGACGTTCTGATCCGAACACACACTACGTCTGATCCGAACACACACTACATCTGATCCGAACACACACACACACACACACACACACACACACACACACACACACACACACACACACACACACACACACACACTCTCTACATCTGATCCGAACACACACTCTCTACGTCTGATCTGCACACATACTTCTGAAATATTTTTGTAAAGAAATGTCAGTCTATCAAATGACTTTTAAGTTCAATTCAATCAATCAGTTGAAGTGTATTCATAAAGCCCAATATCATTAATTCTACAGTGTGTACAGAATACGACACACACTGTTATCATAATTAATATATAATGTACAGTTATTGCTAAATCAATACATCGCAAGGCGTTTCTTTGATTCCATTTAGACAATCGAAGTTGCTCAAATTAATATTTTAATTTCAACAATAACCAAACATATTATCTACTCAAAGTATCATTTTTTAATAAGCAACCCTTTAATGGCATATCAGCTAATTATATTAATTGTGTTGGGTATTTTAATTGATCTTATTCTATCAACTTGAATACATCTGAATAAATACAGAGGAGTACAAACTCTGATAGCAGGAGGTCCAGATCCACATGAGATCACATGACATGCCTGTGAACCTGGGACCCCCTGATCCGAACACCAACGCACAACCCACTGCACCACACGCGATCTCAGCTGATTTCAATTAACTGCTAAGGAGGCAGAGTTAGTTATCAGATGTGTGTGAGAGTGTGTGTGTGTGTGTGTGTGTGTGACCTCTGACAACATGCTGCATCTCATCCTCGCTGCATTGATTTTGGTCCAATCCTCTAAAGATGGTAGGAAATAGAAATATTGAAATGTACTTTAAAGCAAAACATGAATTGACTACTTTATTTCTTGTTGTTTTAGTCACCTCCAGTCCTTTGCGTGAGGCTGACGATGGTACGTTTGTGTTCAAATTCAGTCTAGCTGCGTCAATAAGTCACACTTTTCCAGATGTGTGCTTTTTAATTTAATTGTAATGCATTTAAATGTATTTTTACAGCGACTCAGGATGACTGGATAACCAAAGTGCTGAATTACATGGAGTCTAACCCCGAGACTTTAGAAGGTCAGTGTTTTATCTGGATCAAACTCCCAGGAACCTGCAGGTCCGCTGCGACTCTGACTGCTTTCAAATCCAGCAAGAAGACTTTTCTTTTTGCCGCTGCGTTTAATTGAAACTGAGCGGTTGTGTTTCGTTTTTGGTTAATGGACATTTGGGGCTGGTAACCCAGGGGACTTTGTCCTGGCTGGTCTCCTCTGTGTGTGCTGCTCGGGACGGATGTGCCATACAAGCGGACACAGCTCAGAGAAACCTTAAAGAAAGGCATCAGTAAAGTGGAACTTCTGTGTGAACTATTCATATCTTAAACTGCACTGTAACTTTTATTCATGTATTGTTTATTTTATTATCTTTTCTTTTTAATGACTGTTTTTAAATGCCTTTGTCTTAATGTCATTCATTTTTGTAAAGCACCTTGAATTGCCTTGTGTTGAAAGGTGCTATATAAATAAACTTGCCTTGCATTTAATATTCACAGCTTTAACAAACGAGGGAAGTCTGTTTTTGATTTAGATGTTTCCAAATGTTGACAGAGCTGATGACCGAGGACTTTGCCGTAATGGAGGGAGACATTATGTTGTTGGTGAGAGAAACATTTAGATTCAACTTACTATTGCCGAAGTTTTAACTTGTAACTCTTAGGTTTTATTGCTCAAAGCTGAAGGATGTGTTCGTGACATATTTTAAAATAAATAGTCCAAATGAAAGCAGCAGTACGACATGTCCTGACTTTGAGCTCCAAACACCTTTTGAAACTACATTACCCATCATGCAACTCCATGACGTTTGTCTATATTTTAAACAATTGGTGTTTTTATATCAACAAAAAGTGAAATGATGCCTACATGCATCAACAGATATGAAAGGCAGCAAAACCACTAAAGATTATTTAAAAATTACATAAAAGTGATTAAAATGAGACGCAGAACGACCTTAAAAGAACCAACGGCTTGAAAGTTAGAGAGACTCGCAACTATGGAAAACCAGAATGAGATCAAAGATGACCACAAAAAAAGGAGACACAAAACCACGACAAGAGACTCATAATGACTACAAAGACTCAAAATGACTACAAATTCGTACAGAGAGATTCAAAATGACGGGTGTCTCGATGATATGCTTACAAGACAGAAGCTCATATTTTAGACGTGTGTGTTTTTATTCCACCGGATAACGTGTGTGTTATTTGACTTCAGAACGACAGGAATGCAGTGGAGAGCGTTTGGCCGAGCAGAGCGATCCCGTTCACCATCAGCCCGGAGTTAGGTGGGTTCAGATCAGTGGTTTATTTCTACTTTCAGAATATTTATAGTATTTAATTTCACTGTTGTGTTTCTGCAGAAAGTCGCAAGCAGGTCATCCTCTCTGCGATGGACATGGTGTCCGAACACACGTGTGTGTCGTTCCACAGACGAACCTCCGAGACAAACTACCTGACCTTCGGCACAAGCAAAGGGTGAGGAGCGCTTTATTATTATGATATACTGCATAATGAATTTAGTGCCGCCGCTGTTACATTCTTTCATTATTTATATTCTCTCTTAGTTCACAAGCAATCTGAGTTGGAAGAAGTACTCAGATCGAGTACTTGAGTAAAAGTAGAATTGTTAATACTTTTACTAAAGTACAAGATCTGAGTACTTCTACTTTTACTCAAGTACAAGATCTGAGTACTTCTACCTTTACTCAAGTACAAGATCTGAGTACTTCTACCTTTACTCAAGTACAAGATCTGAGTACTTCTACTCAAGTACAAGATCTGAGTACTTCTACTCAAGTACAAGATCTGAGTACTTCTACTCAAGTACAAGATCTGAGTACTTCTACTTTTACTCAAGTACTTCTACTTTTACTCAAGTACAAGATCAGAGTACTTCTACTTTTACTCAAGTACTCGATCTGAGTACTTCTACCACCTTTGTTTGTAAATAAACTTGCCTTAAGGTTTTGATTGCATGTTGTGTATTTCTAGTAGTAACTGAAGTACTTGTACTGCAGTAATTGAATACTTCTTGTAGTTGTGCTTCGTACGTGGGCTTTATCGGCGGAGAGCAGCTGGTGTACGTGGGGTCGCAGTGCATGATGGGAAACATCGTGCATGAGATCATGCACGCTCTGGGTTTCCATCACGAACACACGAGGAACGACCGCGACCAATACATCACCGTGCTGCATCATAACATCATGGAAGGTAACCCTGTGTACAAATATACAAATACTCTGCACTTGTTACAGTTTTTTTTTTTAAACCAGTTTTTCATTTGTGTTTTTTAACCCACCAATACCCATTCATAAAAAGAAAATGTATTTACCTCATATACAAATACTCTGCACTGATTTATAAAGTCTGGTTACATTTTCTTTTTTTTTAATAAAGTCAGTTTAAAAAAACAATTCTCAAATATTGTTTTAAAATGTATTTTTATTAAATTATTTTCTTTAATTCACCGTAAATTATGTATTGATACCTTTCCTTGGCAGGAGATTTAACTCTCCATACCGTAGCTGATTTTTACATATTGTTTTATTTACAATATTTACTCGGATATTTATTTAACATTTGTTAATTACATTTAACTTTTTTTTTTTAAATGTATATATTATTTATTTGACTCGCCATAACTCAGGTATTTATTTATATTGATCCAACCCACTTTAATTATTGACTCATTTGTAATTCATTTAACTCCTTAATTATTTGTTTCCTTTTTTAAAAAGGAAATTCATTTAAATGACCTTTTTTTCTTTTCACTATAACTCTGAAATGTGTAATTATTTTTTGTTTATTTTAATTTGCATAATCATAACGTATAAACATGTCTTATTTCTGTGATGAAGTGGCGTTATTGTGTTTCAGGGAAGGAGAGAAACTTCAAAAAGCAAAACGGAGAAACGTTCGGCCTGGATTACAACGCCGCGTCCATCATGCACTACGGAGGGTAACCTTTAGGTGTTCAGATCAATATCCTACATTATATTAAATAACATAAAACAACAGAACATTAACAGGCAATTACAAACATATTTAAAAAGTGTGTATTAGACAAAATAAATAACATTTTGATTTGTAATCTTTCCAGTGACTAAGTTATTATTAATAAAACAATTATTTAGGTGCATTTTTCTGATTTTAAATACAGTTTACAGAAGTCCACTTCTCAGTGGGAAGCGAGTTGTAGTTTCTGTACCGTTATAGTGTAGGCACTTTTACTGTAGTAATGAGTACTTCCAGTGTGTACAGTGTAGCCTACACTACACACACAGGAAGTACTCATTACTGCAGTAAAAGTACCTACACTGAGTAGGTACTTTTACTGCAGTAATGAGTACTTCCTGTGTGTACAGTGTAGCCTACACTACACACACAGGAAGTACTCATTACTGCAGTAAAAGTACCTACACTGTGTAGGTACTTTTACTGCAGTAATGAGTACTTCCTGTGTGTACAGTGTAGTTTTGGTACTTTTACTGCAGTAAAAGTACTTCCTGTGTGTACAGTGTAGTATTGGTACTTTTACTGCAGTAATGAGTACTTCCTGTGTGTACAGTGTAGTTTTGGTACTTTTACTGCAGTAATGAGTACTTCCTGTGTGTGTAGTGTAATATAGGTACTTTTACTGCAGTAATGAGTACTTCCTGTCTGTACAGTGCAGTATTAGTACTTTTACTATAGTAACAAGAACCGCTTTCACACCAAGTACTTTGCGCCAGTACTTAGTACCCCCATATAAGTACAGATCGCGTTCACACCGGAATAAGTTCCCTGAGGGAAGATTACGCAAATGAAGCCACTGACGTCACTTCGTCTTCTTCTTTGGGTTTACTGGCAGGCCGCAAATCACACCTCTCTTTGCGTTGGTGCGCTGGGCTAATGATAATAATGCTAATGCCATTAAATACAATGGCGGCTTCACAAAACTTTTCCGAGTTTTACGGGGCGTGGTTTGCAATTCGCCCAGCCAATCAGAAATTGGTTTTTTTTTTTTCTCCCCAGGAAAGTCCCTACCTCTCAAGCAGGAACTAAAAATGGGGGTAAAAGTTCTCGGAACTTAGTTCTCTTTTTGGTGTGAACGCAAAGTTCCAGGCACTAACGGAACTAAACGGGAAAAGTACGGGTAAAAGTACTCCGGTGTGAACGCGCCTAAGTACTTGTGTACAGTGTAGCGTAGGTACTTTTACTGCAGTAACGAGTACTTCCAGTGTAGTGTAGGTACTTTTACTGCAGTAACGAGTACTTCCAGTGTAGTGTCCTGTACTTTTACTGCAGTAACGAGTACCTCCTGTGTGTACAGTGGGTTTTTCTCAGATAACGGCCTGCCCACCATCGTCTCTAAAGAGGAAGTGATGAACATGGGTCAGAGAAAGAAGATGACGGACAGCGACGTGCAGAGAGTCCGACTCCTCTACAGCTGCGGTACTCTTTAAAAAAAAATAATATAGAGTGGTGCAGGAATGAGTCCTAAAACCCTGACATGACTCAGCATTTTAGCACTTCCTGTCCCCCATTCTGCAAGTCAATGGTTATAAACTTAAGTAAAATAATTTGCAGTTTTACGACTAATCTAATTAGCCTCACACGGGGCAGCAACTTTTCTACTGTAAGATTCACAGAAAAAGGTCTGTGACCGTGCTGCAGTATCTTTATAGCCCAGCATTAGCCACCTTTAGCTTAGCGGTGGTGACGTGAAGTCATGTGACCGTGCTGTAGTTCCTTTATAGCCAAACATTAGCCTCCTTTAGCTTAGCGGTGGTGACGTGAAGTCATGTGACCCTGCTGTAGTTCCTTTATAGCCCAACATTAGCCACCTTTAGCTTAGCGGTGGTGACGTGAAGTCATGTGACCGTGCTGTACTTTCCTTTATAGCCCAACATTAGCCTCCTTTAGCTTAGCGGTGGTGAAGTCATGTGACCGTGCTGTACTTTCCTTTATAGCCCAACATTAGCCACCTTTAGCTTAGCGGTGGTGAAGTCATGTGACCGTGCTGTAGTTCCTTTATAGCCCAACATTAGCCACCTTTAGCTTAGCGGTGGTGAAGTCATGTGACCGTGCTGTAGTTCCTTTATAGCCCAACATTAGCCTCCTTTAGCTTAGCGGTGGTGACGTGAAGTCATGTTACCGTGCTGTAGTTCCTCTATAGCCCAACATTAGCCTCTTTTAACTTAGCGGTGGTGACGTGAAGTCATGTTTTTTACTTCAGAAATCATAAAGTGGTGTTAATATGGTTGTCCTGCTGAACTTAACGTGTAAGTATCATAAACGTTTGTCTGACATGATAAAAAAAATTCCATGGAGGAATCCCATTGGACCAGGGAGATGCTACCTTCAGGGACAAACACAGAAATACCACATTCCTGTGCCACTTTATGACTACAAACCCCATCATGCTTCACTTTCTCCCTCTTTACCAGATCCTCCCAAAAAGACTGGAAGAAATTAAACGTCAGCAGCCACTGGAGGGCGCCACAGCACCGGGGAGCCAAAACATATTTGAATAAAAACGAAAGATACACTCCATATCTGTCTTTCTACTGCTTTCAAACTGATCACATGTATGTGTACTACCTCATTGTCAAAAAGGTTGGCTTCTCAATGCCGATAATCCTTTTTAAATGTAGGTGTAAAGATCACTAAATTAAAACAATTCCTGTCATTAACTGAAAACCTACATTTCCAGAGTGCAGTCAAAATATTGCAAATCAATCTTCTAGAAATGGCTGCTTCGTTGAAACATTCATGTTAATTATAAAACCTTAAATTGTATACATTTTTAAAATACTTTTCACTACGAGTTCTATTTGTAATTATACCTTTATCATCCAGATTTTTCTGACTGCAGCTAAACTTTAGATCAGGGGTGTCGAACTCAATTTAATCGCCGGCCACATCAGCATTAGGGCTGCACTCAAAGGGCCGGTTGTAACTTTAAGACTATATAAAAATATATATATATAATGTATTGTTTGACATTATTGCCTCTGCATTGGATTATTATCAGATGGGGGGGTAATAACTTAATTAACTACGTCTGAAAGCAGAAGTCTGGGGCAAATAATTGCAAGTCTCTTCAGTGAGAATGTCACAAAATGATTTAAAAAGAAAAGCCACATTCTGGAAAAAGTCAACTGCTGAGTCTAATTTGAGATGCATTGTGGGACATGTAGTTTATGGGCAACGTGCTTCTGTAAATCATCACGAAATCGTATAATATTCTTTGCAAGCTCTTGTTGGGCCACAGAAAATGAAGTCACGGGCCGGATTTTGCCCCCGGGCCTTGAGTTTGACACCCCTGCTTTAGATGAACATCAATGATCATTAATTCTGCAGCGGGACTTCTCTCCCGCGTGCATCCTCCCACAGACCTGCACACATTTACACTCCAGCAGATATTAAACACGACACATGGAGACAAAGATATCACTGCAGTTATTAGTTTGAAAGGTTATGCATATCAGACTCTTAGTCTTTGAGAGAGAGTCATTAAGGATGATTATATGAAGCCAAATGTACAAATACTAGTGTGGAAATGGTGCAGTGAGTTATTGATTTATTTGTGCATCCCGGGAATAAAGGTGATGGGTTCATATCTGCAGCTCAGAGCAGATTGATTCACGATGATGGGATCATGTAGTTTAATAAATCACCTTTACTGCAGAAACATCAGACAGGAAGTGATGGGAACAACTCGTCTCCAGTCATCTGATGAATAATAGAGAATAAATGTTATTAAAATTAAGTTAATTTGACAAATAAATGCTCCTTTCTTCTCATTTATGTTCAGATTTGAAAGAAACACATTGAGTGCTTTGCAGCTTTGCAGCATGCATTGTTTTAGGGTACACGTCTCTTAAATGTGATTATTTTGTACAGGAATTAACATTTGTATGGAAGCGGAGGCAAATAATGAAAAACAATTATGTAGCATTAGGTAAATTGTAATAACAAAAGCTGCATGTGTGGAAGACGTGTCTAAAAAAGAAATGAAATAGCAAGTCAATACAGAAGATCAAACCAGAGAATGACTGGATCACCACTTGATACAAGTCCATACGCGAGTGGAGAAATAACCTAAAATGCGTCCAAATGAGGAACTCAATACCCCTCTCTGATTAAAAGATAAAGCCATCTGTTCCTGTTTCTCTTTGACTCCTCTCACATGCAGCGCGCATTTGGAGAGAAGCTGCGCGTAAAAATGCGCGTCTCCGTTTCTCTGGATCCTTCCGCGTCAAATCCTCCAAACTCAGTCCGAGTAACAGAGCGTCTCCAGCGGCTGCAATCACAGCAGCAACCCGGGGACACAGAAGCTAAACACGCGGATGCATTATGCTTTAAATCCGGGGTTTCCACTGTCTCTGGAAACTTTCTCTTTTCACACATCCTCTGACCGGATCTCTGCCATCTCTAACCCGGAGAGTGGACATCATCACCGGGTGGGTTTCTGCAGATTTCCACCAGATAATACACCTTACAACTCGGACTGAGCATCTGAAGAGAAGATCGTGATTATCCCAGTAAGTTTGAGGTGATTTTCCTCTTGTTTTCCTCTGTGTTCTGAAGTGTTTACTGGCAACATCTGGATCCCTTTAACGAACAGGTCATGTGCAGTTACTGGGGTTTAAATGGATTACATTTATATAAATAGACTTCAATGGGAACATCTAATCCTCTAACACAATTATACTGCACAACATATATTGAGGCACTTATTTGAATAAAGTACTCAAGCAGCTGCAGATGGGCAGGATTTGATATGAGAAGAAAAGATAAAATAGGAAATAAAATCCCCAAATGTGAAACCCTCACCCTGAGCTTCTTCTGCTGCACGTGTGGTTTAAAACACACGTGCAAAGGGGATTCAGGTCCATTTTATTCACTGTTTGAGCTCCAAAATCTCACATTTCCTTCATCTCACATAAAGCCTGAAAACAAAGGGCTCAGTAGTTTCCACTCCAGACCTCCAGGTGGCGCCACTTTAGCTACAATGCTAATATCGCTAGCATTAGATTTAGTATTTCTTGTAACTTCTGGTCTTTCTTTGAGAGTTCTGTTTGTTATCATTTACTTCTGGAATATAAGTTTCCTGTTCAAGTTTAATATCAACAACAATTAGCTTTGGAAGATCTGGTACTTGAGTAAAAGTAGAAGTACTCAGATCTTACTTGAGTAAAAGTAGAAGGACTCAGATCTTACTTGAGTAAAAGTAGAAGTACTCAGATCTTACTTGAGTAAAAGTAGAAGTACTCAGATCTTACTTGAGTAAAAGTAGAAGTACTCAGATCTTACTTGAGTAAAAGTAGAAGTACTCAGATCTTGTACTTGAGTAAAAGTAGAAGTACTCTGATCTTGTACTTGAGTAAAAGTAGAAGTACTCAGATCTTGTACTTGAGTAAAAGTAGAAGTACTCAGATCTTACTTGAGTAAAAGTAGAAGTACTCAGATCTTACTTGAGTAAAAGTAGAAGTACTCAGATCTTACTTGAGTAAAAGTAGAAGTACTCAGATCTTGTACTTGAGTAAAAGTAGAAGTACTCTGACCTTACTTGAGTAAAAGTAGAAGTACTCAGATCTTACTTGAGTAAAAGTAGAAGTACTCAGATCTTACTTGAGTAAAAGTAGAAGTACTCAGATCTTACTTGAGTAAAAGTAGAAGTACTCAGATCTTGTACTTGAGTAAAAGTAGAAGTACTCAGATCTTGTACTTGAGTAAAAGTAGAAGTACTCAGATCTTACTTGAGTAAAAGTAGAAGTACTCAGATCTTACTTGAGTAAAAGTAGAAGTACTCAGATCTTGTACTTGAGTAAAAGTAGAAGTACTCAGATTTTGTACTTGAGTAAAAGTAGAAGTACTCAGATCTTGTTCTTGAGTAAAAGTAGAAGTACTCAGATGTTGTACTTGAGTAAAAGTAGAAGTACTCAGATCTTACTTGAGTAAAAGTAGAAGTACTCAGATCTTGTACTTGAGTAAAAGTAGAAGTACTCAGATCTTACTTGAGTAAAAGTAGAAGTACTCAGATCTTGTACTTGAGTAAAAGTAGAAGTACTCAGATGTTGTACTTGAGTAAAAGTAGAAGTACTCAGATCTTGTACTTGAGTAAAAGTAGAAGTACCAGAGTGTAGGAATACTCTGTTTCAGTAAAAGTCCTGCATTCAAAATGTTCCTCAAGTGAAAGTAGAAAAGTATTCTCATCAAAATATAGTGAAAGACAGTAAAAGTAGTCGTTGTGCAGATTGGTCCATTTCAGAATAATATATATGATATGTTTTATAATGATTGATCATGAAAGTGTTCTCAAAGCTGGTGAAGGTGCAGCTAGTTTGAAGTACTTTGTATACTGCAGGGTAGCTGGTGGATTTACTCCAGGTGGAACTAAAGTCTGATTCAACACTTGATTAGATTTCACATCATTCATCCACATCTGTGAAGTAACTAAAGGTATTCAATACATGTAGTGGAGGAAAAGTACACCATGTACCTCAACATGTTACTTAAGTACATTACTTTACGTAAGTGGTCAGTTTATATCGTATAGTTCTGGAAGTCTCATAAATAAACGTTTTCTGTCAGTGAAACATGGTGTCAAAAGCAATTTCGCTGTAACCCTCCTGTTGTGTTCGTCCCCCGCCCCCCCCCCCGCCCTTACTTTGGTGTTCACGGCCAAATTTGGACCGGTCCTGTTTTAGCTGCTATTACATTAACACAAAAACCATTAATCATCACATTTCATTTAACACCCTTTCAAACTGTACATATTGTATCAGACGACTGGTATACATGAAGAACTGCAGTAAATATACAAAGAACAGACACTGAACATGTACTGGTGTGCCAGGTGTGATCCATGTGGGGGGAGGGGCACATAAGAGCGGGACATGTGTCAAATTGGTGTATGTGTGTGTGTGTGTGTGTGTGTGTGTGTGTGTGTGTGTGTGTGTGTGTGTGTGTGTGTGTGTGTGTGTGTGTGTGTGTGTGTGTGTGTGTGTGTGTGTGTGTGTGTGTGTGTGTGTGGCCTAGCATTACTATACTTGTGTGGACCTAAATCTGTTTACACAGTCACGTGTGGGGACTCTCCTCCCTTATGGGGACAAATTGGAGGTCCCCATAAGGGGAATCATTAATTTTAGGGTGAAGACTTGGTAAGGATAAGTCTCCAGGAAATGCATGTAAGTCAATGTAATGTCCCCTGAAGTGGTGTATACATGGTGTGTGTGTGTGTGTGTGTGTGTGTGTGTGTGTGTGTGTGTGTGTGTGTGTGTGTGTGTGTGTGTGTGTGTGTGTGTGTGTGTGTGTGTGGGTGTGTGTGTGTGTGTGTGTGTGTGTGTGTGTACATTGAAAGTGGCCACTCTTCCATATGTGTGGCAGGAAAAGCAAGCATCAATAACAAACCTTCATGATGTAACTCTACACATGATGAACGACGATGACGATGCAGAAGAACATGGCAATAAAAGCATATTGTCGTTCTTTTAGAGACCGGGTGTTTGTGTCGATTAAATCTAACGGACACATCACGCCATCGCGACGAACCTCCTACAGAAAGCGATAATGGAGCGAAGTGTCGCCACAATGTGGGCTTTCCATTAGGAACCTCGCGTTGAATAAAGAAACGGGGTCCTTTTTAAACGGCCGCATTTACAGCATTTTATCATAAGTGCTTTATAATTCTCGATTCACACGGCGGCGCTCTGTGCAAGAGGGCGGCAGGAGCAATCAGGTGCATCATGTGCAGAATCAAACATAAAGGCTCATAGAAGGAGTCCGGTTTCCTGCACAGACAATCTGCAAATGGATTTAAATTGAAAAACCACAGTTCACTTCAATGTCTCCTGTCACTGACATCTGGTTTGTGACATTTTAAGATAGATAATACAAATCAAATTTAAACTAGTTTATGTTCCCAACATAGGGGTTGTTCCCCTCCAAAGGGTCACCGGATTCATCTGAGCGGCCGTCACATGATTAACAGGAAAGAGAAGAAGACAAGTGGGCAGGTGGGCGGAATGAACTCTTTTTAAATGTTAACGTCTGCAGACCATTTACATGCACTAAAACCTATAGTGCACACTACAGGAGAGGGAAAACCCCCAAGGCATCACATGGCCTCTTTCAAACTAAACCAATGCAAGTTAACGTACAGATTTTGTTATATCTGATTATCATACTTTTTGTTTATTTATTTGGTATTCATTCGACGGGCACATTGATTAACATTTCTGTAACTGCGCCAACAGCGTCCCTGGGCAGATGTTGAAAGTCATTCTAAAAAAAATGTCACTTCAAATGACAGATAAATACAATCAGTAAAACAACATTATAATAATAATAATAATCCTTATATTTATTATAGCGCTTTATCAATGACTCTCAAAGCGCTTTACAAATACACATTACACATACAGATCATACATGTAATGGTCATCGACTGTGGACACCCACAGGAGCAAGTTCAGGTGAAGTGTCTTCAAGGACACACCGGCCTGACGCAGTGGGGCGGGAGCGGGTTACATTCAACAGAGATGCTTATATAATGATAAAAGCATCTATAAAAACATAAAAACATAAAAACTTAAATAGATATTCACAAAGCAGACCGAGAGCAACAGGTCGAGGCACATGTGCAGACAGAGCGTTGTAAAGTGCAGATTGTGTGAGTGTTGACAGAGCGGACTTTCCACTAACCATGTTTTGAAGGTAGATTTGAATGAACTGCAGGTGTTTTGTTCTCTACTCGTTACTGGGACTGAGTTCCACTGTCGTGCAGCTTTAACAGAAAAAGAAGATTGGCTGAATGAACTCTCCCTCAATGGAACAACGCAGTCTCCTCTGGTTGCAGCTCTTGTTGACCTACAGGTGTGCGTATGGTGGTCACATGTCTGAGCGGAGGTGAGGTGAGGCCGTGTATTATTTTGTACATGAGGCAAGCATTTGCATATCTCATTACATTTCCAGCTCAACAAGTTGCACTTTGTGAGTATTGGGCAATGATGAGAATGAACTGATTTCTTATCTACTATTTGAAGTGTTTGTTCGTATCATGATCCCAGGGCTTTGAGAGTGGTTGCATGTGAGCAGGTTGCTAAGCAGTATGTGATGTGAGATGGAACCATAGAGTCTGTTGTCATGCAGTCTCTGGTAAACCTCACATTCACAGACTGAATTTGACCCTGTTGCAAACCTTTTTCACCTGAGCCTTCAAATTGAGTCTTGAATCAGTGAAGACCCCCAGGTATTTGCACTGTGAGCCCACCTGTAGCCCCTCCCCGGACACATGTTTCTTCTCTTACAACAACTTATCGTCTTGTGTTGTTTACGTTTGAACCTCCATGTGCAAACATAAGGCTGGTGTGTTTAACTTCTATGTGCCTAAACCCTGCGCCTTATACTGTATGTGCTCTGAATCTGCACCTTATCCAAATACATGTATTCATGGTTTGTCTTTACACTTTCTGATTGGATGCAAACTGCTTTTTTCGTTGTACTTGTAAACAATGACAATAAAGTTGAATCTAATCTGCACCAAAGCAAATACCTTGTATGTGTAACGGCAATACACTGGATTCTGATTCTTAATCAAATGTTCTCTCTTAGATCTCATGGCTTCCCCTTGACGGACGGTTCCTCCTCTGACTGGGAATCCCCTGTTTTCTCCATGGTTTTCCAAACAAACTGGATATAATACCCCCGTCAGCAGCATGGCATTGTCTCCAGACGCCCCCTGCCTCTCGGAGCTTTCCGGATTCCCCAACAGGAACTTTAGCCTCATCTCCGGTACCCATCCGTGTAACCGGAGTACAGGCAGAGCTTCTACTTCTTCTTCTTCTTCGCCCTACAGCCCGCAGGCGACCGCTGCCTTCGCCATCGCCATCACCTCCATGATGCTCCTCACCATCGTGGGGAACATCCTCGTCATCATCGCCGTCCTGACGTCTCGTTCGCTCAAAGGTCCTCAGAACCTCTTCCTGGTGTCGCTGGCGGCGGCAGATATTCTGGTCGCGACGCTCATCATCCCGTTCTCGTTAGCCAACGAGCTGCAGGGCTACTGGGCGTTCAGCTCTGTGTGGTGTGTGGAGGCATTTTTATTTAATCAAATATCGATAAAACAGCAAACTAAGAGGCTTTGCCTTTCCTGTGGTGTGTTTTAGTGCATGTAAATGGTCTGCAAAGGCTACAATTACAACATTCTCTGTGATATCTCATATGATGATTTGAATTAAACTATAGCCAAAATATAAGAATCAAACCAAAATGCTAAAAAATGCTTTGCCTTTCTTATAGTGTGTTTGTGTGCATGTAAATGGTCTGCAAAGGCTAAAATGACACAATGTTCTCTCCAGAGGTAGTTTCTCCATGTGATCAATTATTTAAATTCAACTATAGCCAATTTATAACGGAGGTACAATAGAAATCAAACCAAAATGCAAAAAAAATCATTTGACTTTCCTGTAGTGTGTTCTATAGGTTTTGGTGCATGTAAATGGTCTTCAAAGCCTAAAAATAAGCACAATTGTTTCTTACAATATAGCCAATATGTAAAGGAGGTGACATGCTTTGAAAATGCAAGAATTCTTGAAATATATTCTCAAATGAATGAACTCTGAGAAATTGATATAGGTATTGGTGCATGTAAATGGTCTGCAAAGCCTAAAATTAAGCACAATTAGTTTTCTCAATGTGATATCTTATTTAAATTATACTATAGCCAACATATAAATAAGGTACTATTGGAACAACCTAAAAAATGCTTTAAAAATGCAAAAATCTTTTGATATATTTTCTCAAATATCGGGAAAAAACTGTTGTTTCTTTGTATTTCTTTAACAAAGTTCAGTCAGTCATACAGAGAGCCCTGTCTGTATTATGACAGTGAGTAAAATGCTTTTCTGTTCCAGGTGTGAAATCTACCTGGCGCTGGACGTCCTCTTCTGCACGTCCTCCATTGTTCACCTGTGCGCGATAGCACTGGACCGCTACCTGTCGATATCTCGCCCCGTGACGTACGGCGCCAAAAGAACTCCGACGCGAATCAAAGCGGCCATTATTATAGTCTGGCTGATCTCCGCGGTCATCTCTTTCCCGCCTCTTCTCTCTCTGGACAAGAGCAAAGGAGGTGAAGAAGTCTGCGAGCTGAACAACGAGCGATGGTATATTCTCTACTCCACCATCGGGTCATTCTTCGCTCCCTGTGTGATTATGATCCTGGTTTACGTGCGGATTTATCAGATCGCAAAGCAGCATACTCGAAGTTCGGCAGGACAGAAGCAAAAGGCGACAACGGGAGAAAACGCCAATGAGAGTCCGGCGAAGATATCCGAGCAGAACGGGGATCAAGGAGGCAGCCAACGGGAAAAAGTCCAAGCTAAAATCTCTGGCTCTGATTCAAACCAGTCGTCTTTTCGAAACCCTCCAGAGAATATGCCAATCCAAGGCACTGCAATCCCCCAAATCCCCCAAATCCCCCAAATCCCCCAAATCCCCCAAATCCCTTCAGCTGTTCCCCAGAAAGAGTCCCAGAAACATCGAGAGGAAGAAGAAGCAGCGTTCGAGAACTCGTCCAACTCTGGTTCTGAAATGGCCGATGAAGGCAAAGACGAAACGGACAAATCGGAAACTTTAGGGTCGTCCCGAAAGAAAGGGTTCAAAGTCAAGATGCTAAACCTGTCCTGTAGGTACAAAGAAACAATGGCCTCTTCTTCTTCTGGCACCAAAGTTGTACCCGACGAAAAAATCCAAGGGACGCCGACTTCTCGCCGCAAAGCCATGGCGAACCGGGAAAAACGCTTCACTTTCGTGTTGGCGGTGGTGATGGGAGGCTTCGTTATCTGCTGGTTCCCCTTCTTCTTCTCTTACTCTTTGAAGGCGGTGTGCCCGGAGACCTGCAGCATCCCATACCCTTTGTTTAATTTCTTCTTCTGGATCGGATACTGCAACTCCTGCCTCAACCCGGTCATTTACACCATCTTCAACCACGACTTCAGGAAGGCCTTCAAGAGGATACTGTGCAGGGACACCAAGGGCACGTTCTTCTAGACTGGAAATTAGGATTTATTGACTATAAACAGTATTGATATAAACACTTGCACACCATTTACATGCACTGAAACCTATAGAACACACTACAGGAGAACAGACACTCTTTAAGCGAAAGTGGTGAAGGTACGGATCATCTCAAGTTAGTTTTTTCAAACTGTTTTCATTTTGTCCTTTGGAATATTTTTACATATATTTTTCCGTCAATTTCTGAGATATTTTCCTTCTTTGGGAAAATGTCTTCTGTGTTTTCCAGATTTCATTACAATATGTTTTGAATGTTTTGTTTCGGGCCTCTTTAAGCGAAAGTGGTGAAGGTACTCATCATCTCAAGTTTTCATTTATGCCTTCGGAACTATTTAACATCATTTTCCCAAATCTTTTTCAAATCTTTTTGTCGATTTCTCCCATACTTTTTTGGGACCTTTTCTCGTGTGTTTTTCAGACTTCATTCCCAAATGTCACCATATTCAACCACAACTTCAGGAAGGCCTTCAATACCATTTACATGCACTAAAACCTATAGAACAGACTACAGGAGAATATAAACTCTTTGGTAAAGTTACGTAAAGTTACGGATCATCTCAAGTTTGTTTTTTCCGACGGTTTACCGGAACTTTTTAACATTTCTTCCACATATTTTTTGTCAATTTCTCAGATATTTATGGTAAATGTTCTCCTGTGTTTTTCAAACTTCATTCCAATATTTTTCACAAATTAAAAGTATTTATAGGTTGCACTGATTGTACCTCATGTACACTCTGTTCAATCAGGATCCTCATACTGAATATCTCATAGTACCTACTCTTTCCATGTATTCTTTGGAACCTTTTAACATATTTTTTGTCAACTTCTCAGATATTTTCCACATATTTTCGGGACGTTTTCTTTTTTCAACCCGGTCGTTTAAACCAACTTCAACCACGACTCCAGGAAAGCCTTCAAGAGTAAACTGTGCCGGGAATTAGGTTTCGTACCGAAGGATTTATTTACTTCTGCAGTCGTTGGGATTGACCTTGTTCATAATAGACATAAACACTTATACATTAAGGAGGAGATTGTCTCTCCTTCTCGTCTGAAGGAACAAAGAGGGGAAGTTTCTGAAAGCCACAGTCAAGTGGCCGAATCAATTATCTTTAATGTTATTTAAGAATACGCTGTAATCAAATATTCAATGACTCTGAAGAACGATGATTTGATTATGTTTTCATACGGAAGTCAAAAGGATACAGGGCCTGTGTTCAGTAATTTAAAATGTGTGTTTGTTTGTGTGTGTGTGTGTGTGTGTTTGTGTGTGTGTGTGTGTGTGTGTGTGTGTGTTGTGTGTGTGTGTGCATGGGGATAAAGAGGACGGTCGCCTAAGGGTCTCACTGGCAGAGAACAAATATCACTAAGTGTCCTTTATCTCAGATAAAACGGGCACTCAAGGAACAGCAGAGCAGGGACAAAGTGAGCATCCTCCTCTCGGTGCTGTTTCTTTCTCGCTCCCTTCCTCCATGTAAAGCTGAAACGTGGGAAGTGTGCATTAAGACGGATAGATGTTTTACGCCCACGTCTCCGCGATGCTACACCTCTCTCTGGGAGTTTATCATTAAGGGGAAACGGCCCGAGGCTTTGTGGGGAGGAGAGCAGGAGAATCTGCAGAGGCTGCAGGAAAGATGGATGCGTTACATGTGGAGCCGTTTCCTTCCATCCTCATTATGTGTTTATATTCAGTCCTATAAAGTAAGCATGGTGCAGGGAGGCGGTGCAAAGTACTTTGACTTGAGTACTACTTTTGGTACTTGATCTATATATATTATTTATTCTACTATTTCAATAGACAAATCCGATTAATCCAACATTAGTAGAAGCAGGAGGGCAGAAAGCAAAGTGTATACATCCAGTTGCAGGATCAATTAATAAAGATAAATATGTAATTAAATACAGATAAACACAATGCTCTATACACACACATATGTACACATAATGTGTGTGCACCCATTTCCAGGGTGAAAAGAAAAGAAAAAAGTCCATGTTCAGATGTAAGGACAGTTTCATTTCTCATCTTATTTTTGTATAAACTATGAAAATTAAAATAATAATCGTTGTTATTATTATTTGCAAACAAAGCAGGGAAAATGTACAACATGAAGCTTTTGTTAGATTTCAGATTATGTTGAATGTTTCTCCTCCTGACGCGAAATGAAGTCTTTAAAAAGCCTCTGGCAAAAAAGCATCGTCACAAAACTGAAAACAGGCTGTTTTTCTGAGAAACTGGACTTTTTTCTAATATAGAATATGATGCATTGTTGCAGATAGGTCTACACCAGGGGGTCAAACCCAAGGCCCGGGGGCCAAATCCGGCCCGCGACTTCATTTCATGCGGCCCCACAAGAGCTTGCAAAGAATATAATATGTTTATTATACGGTTAGATGACGATTTACAGAAGCACGTTGCCCATAAACTACATGTCCCAGAATGCATCTCAAATTAGACTTTTTTCTAGGAATTTGACTTTTTTTCTTCTAAATATGCCTTTTTTCTCTGAATTTGACAATTTTTTTGAAATGTTACTTTTTTTTTAAATGTCACTTCTGTTTTTTGATTTTTAAATCATTTTGTCACATTCTCACTGAAGAGAATTGCAATTATTTGCCCCAGACTTCTGCTTTCAGACGTAGTTAATTATGAAGTTATTACCCTATCAGATAATAATCCAATGCAGAGGCAATAATGTAATATAATACATTATTTTATATATATATTTATATATAAGTTACAACCGGCCCTTTGAGTGCAGCCATAATGCTGATGTGACCCGTGATTAAATTGAGTTTGACCCCCCTGGTCTACACTATAACAACTCGAAATCTAAAAGTATCTGTGTCTGATATCCAGTCAGAATGTGTCTCCTGATATCAGACACAATCACTGCAGAAGTGACTGCAGGGAGATATAGGCTCTTGTTTTTAGACAATGCTTCATCTTGTTAAGTCAAAACATCCTATTTTGAGTTGTATCTCAGAGGAAAGTCAACATCAGAAAACAGAACAATTTCGAGCATTATAGTTCAAAATAATGAGTTCTCCCACAAGATCTGATTTATCTAAAGATCCCTTAGAAATATATAAATCTCACCGAGCCAAATGTCACTTGTTCTATTGGCAGAGCTGTGTACTTACTTCAAGTGAAAACAGCCTGTTTGTGGAGCAGCATTTGTTCCAGGTTAGCCAACAGTTCGTAACAGGAGTTACAATGAGCACAGCGTCAAACGGCAGCAAAACGCTAAACAGTCAAAGAAATGTTAAAAATATGTTGAAAATGTCTGAAATTACCAAAACATGTGAAAAAATAAGGGAAAAGTACACCAAAAAAAGTAGTAAATACACATATATTCGGTGTCCTTGGGTGTCTTGAAAGGTGCCTTAAAAAAAAAGTATTATTATTATAATTGTATATCTGTTTGTATGCAATATGATGCATACAAACAGATATAGAGCCAACATATACAGGCAGTGAACGCTTCTACAGCAACACAATGCAGCAGTGATATTAATCATCATAATACCAAACCTTCTGCTGCACGATAAGTACTTTTACTTCAAGTACTTCATTTACAGTTTATTGCACAATCAGTGATTTATTTAATATGAGACGTTGAGCTTCAAAACCCTTTACTTCGTGTTCCCTACAAAAGCAATCCATCTGAACCCTGAAGGTACCGGGCGATGAGAGAAGAATCCCCGATGAAGACGCGCATGTGTGTGAGTGTGTGTGTGGTGTGTGTGTGTGTGTGTGTGTGTGTGTGTGTGTGTGTGTGTGTGTGTGTGTGTGTGTGTGTGTGTGTGTGTGTGTGTGTGTGTGTGTGTGTGTGTGTGTGTGTGTGTGTGTGTGCATGTTTCTTGTTGTAATTGCACTTCTCTTATCTGTCTGAAAGCCGATAGAGATGATCTCGAGTGAAGCATCCTGTAAACATGTAAGATAGCACAGGTTTTGTAGCTTTTGTACAGTGTTAGCTATTTAGCAATATTAGCGTCAAATATGATTGTTTTAAAATCCAACTGAAATTAAAATGCATGTTTATTTTCTGCTAAAGTAAAACCCTCTTGACAGTGAAGATGCTACCATTAGCTAATAACCAGTAAACTAATGGGGATGCATTAGCCTAAGATGGTGGACAGGAAGTCATAAATTGCTGAGTCATATCAGGGTTTTGTAATTTCAGCTGGACTTTCACTTAACTAGTATTATTGCCTTGTTTCCGCTCCTGTGTTGTGCTTTTATTTTGAAAATCTCTTCACAATAAAGCTTTGAATAAAGGTCACAATGATGATTTAACTGCTGCTAGTCATTGTTTCAGCTTTTATTTTGAAAATCCCTTAATATTTAAGCTTTGAATGCTGCTGCTGGTTGTTTCAGCTTTTATTTTGAAAATCTATTCACAATAAAGCTTTGAATAAAGGTCACAATGATGATTTAAACACTGCTGGTGTTTTTTTCCAGCTTTTATTTTGAAAATCCCTTCATATTTAAGCGTTGAATGCTGCTGCTCGTTGTTTCAGCTTTTATTTAGAAAATGTCTTCATGTTAAAACTTTTTAAAAAACGATACGATGATTAAAACGCTGCTGGTCGTTGTTTCAGCTTTTATTTTGAAAATCCCTTCATGTTTAAGCTTTGAATGCTGCTGCTGGTTGATTCAGCTTTTATTTTGAAAATGTCTTCATAGTAAAGCTTTGAATAAACGAGACAATGCTGGTTATTTCAGCTTTTATTTTGAAAATCCTTTCATATTCAAGAATTGAATAAACGATACGATGATGATTTAAATGCTGCTGGTCGTTGTTTCAGCTTTTATTTTGAAAATCCCTTCACAATAAAGCTTTGAATAAAGGACACGATGATGATTTAAACGCTGCCGCTGGTTGTTTCAGATTTTATTTTGAAAATCCCTTCATATGTTACCGTTGATTTAGACGTCCTTTCAGCTCCTTATTATCACAGTCACACAAACTACTCAATCATAAATGTGCTACGAATGGTACAAATGAAACATATTAAAAGTTGATAATCACCCCATTACCCCTCGCTGTTTAATTACTGAGCCGTAGGATATGTGTTGTTTACTTCTTGAGATAAAGACTATTATGTTTTGATTGTGATTAAAGGTGTAAATGGTTTCCAGGGCTTTAATTTACTGTCATTATAATCTCTAATGTTCTGCCTGCAGGACCTGCGGGGTTATTCATTCAAACACTTCCATTCAAAGAAAGAAATACATCACACATGAGAAAAAAACAAATCGAAATATACATAAATAAATACAAATGAAATAACAATAACATGAACAAATAAAGCAAAAAATATTGAATATAATTAAATAAAAAATATAATTAAATGCAAAAATTGAAAGATAAATACCAATAAAAACAAAAAACATGCTGTATTTAATTAATACCACTTCAAAAGGGTTACAAATAAAAAACAATAAATGAAAAAAAAGAACAAAAAGTAGAGACACTACATACTGATATACAGCTGAACATCAGCAGTAGAGGACTCTTTAAAGTAGAGACACTACATACTGATATGCACCTGAACATCACCAGGAGAGGACTCTTTAAAGTAGAGACACTACATACTGATATACACCTGAACATCAGCAGGAGAGGACTCTTTAAAGTAGAGACACTACATACTGATATACACCTGAACATCAGCAGGAGAGGACTCTTTAAAGTAGAGACACTACATACTGATATACACCTGAACATCAGCTGGAGAGGACTCTTTAAAGTAGAGACACTACATACTGATATACACCTGAACATCAGCAGGAGAGGACTCTTTAAAGTAGAGACACTACATACTGATATACAGCTGAACATCAGCAGGAGAGGACTCTTTAAAGTAGAGACACTACATACTGATATACACCTGAACATCAGCAGGAGAGGACTCTTTAAAGTAGAGACACTACATACTGATATACAGCTGAACATCAGCAGGAGAGGACTCTTTAAAGTAGAGACACTACATACTGATATACACCTGAACATCAGCTGGAGAGGACTCTTTAAAGTAGAGACACTACATACTGATATACACCTGAACATCAGCAGGAGAGGACTCTTTAAAGTAGAGACACTACATACTGATATACACCTGAACATCAGCAGGAGAGGACTCTTTAAAGTAGAGACACTACATACTGATATACACCTGAACATCAGCAGGAGAGGACTCTTTAAAGTAAAGACACTACATACTGATATACACCTGAACATCAGTAGGAGAGGACTCTTTAAAGTAGAGACACTACATACTGATATACACCTGAACATCAGCAGGAGAGGACTCTTTAAAGTAGAGACACTACACACTGATATACAGCTGAACATCAGCAGGAGAGGACTCTTTAAAGTAGAGACACTACATACTGATATACACCTGAACATCAGCAGGAGAGGACTCTTTAAAGTAGAGACACTACATACTGATATACAGCTGAACATCAGTAGGAGAGGACTCTTTAAAGTAGAGACACTACATACTGATATACACCTGAACATCAGCAGGAGAGGACTCTTTAAAGTAGAGACACTACACACTGATATACAGCTGAACATCAGCAGGAGAGGACTCTTTAAAGTAGAGACACTACATACTGATATACACCTGAACATCAGCAGGAGAGGACTCTTTAAAGTAGAGACACTACATACTGATATACAGCTGAACATCAGCAGGAGAGGACTCTTTAAAGTAGAGACACTACATACTGATATACACCTGAACATCAGCAGGAGAGGACTCTTTAAAGTAGAGACACTACATACTGATATACACCTGAGCATCAGCAGGAGAGGACTCTTTCAAGTAGAGACACTACATACTGATATACACCTGAACATCAGCAGGAGAGGACTCTTTAAAGTACAGACACTACATACTGATATACACCTGAACATCAGCAGGAGAGGACTCTTTAAAGTAGAGACACTACATACTGATATACACCTGAACATCAGCAGGAGAGGACTCTTTAAAGTAGAGACACTACATACTGATATACACCTGAACATCAGCAGGAGAGGACTCTTTCAAGTAGAGACACTACATACTGATATACACCTGAACACC